CTGTCCCCCCGCGCAGCGCTTCTTCGGACAGGAGGGACGGGGCACGGCGGGCTTGTCGCCAGGGGGCTAGGACCGGAGCCTCCTGTGGGGAAGGAGCTGGAAAAAACTGTCGTCGGCTCCGGGAGAGCCTTCTCCCGCCGGAGCCCCTTCCTCTCCGCTTCTGCTGTACCGGCGCCCCTTTCAGCTCTCTTTGGAGCTGAGGATGGGCTGGGAAAAGCGAGCCTCTGTGCTAGGGAGGAAAGCGTTGCAGTCCCTGTGCGAGCGAAACTCTCCGTCCCTGGGGTAAAATGTAAACATGACCGTAACGTAAAATGAAGCGCAGCCAGAAGGCAGGCACGTTCTCTAGCGCCCAGGGATGTCCACCCGGGAAGCGCTGATGAATGAACGGACCCACGCTTGCCATTCCCCGTTTTGAACTCTGCACTTCGACACGAGGGGCCGGGAGTACCGGTAGGTCCATGGGCTGTGCTGGCTTCTGATCGCTCCGGCCGCAAGTGCTCATCCAGGCGGCCCGGCGGAGCGCCGGCGAGCCAAGGTGAGGGCTGCGAGGGGCGAGCTCCGGGGGTTCTTGGCCCGCACATCGTCCCGGGCCCAGGCTTGTCTTGCCACCTGAAGCCCTACGCGGCGTGACGAGGCGTCCCTGATCGGTGGCGGCAAAGGGGGGGAACAAAAGCTGTGCCCACTTCATCCGCCCTCCCTGGGGGACGGGTTTAGGGCGAAATTAGCAAGTGGGCTGTCTCTCAGCGCGTACCAAAGGGGTAGAGCCTTGTGTGCAAAAGGGGTGGGGATGTGGCTCTTTCTCTCGGAGGTTTATTATTATTGGGTGGAGGAGGGGGGAGGGAGAGTCGGCCGAGAAGACAAAATGCGGGGACCCCCCCCGCCCGGCAAGTGTGTCTGTGCGGGAGGCGGGAGGAGGCGGCTCCTCGGAGAGCGAGGTAGAGAAGGGTGAGGGGGACAACCAAAGTGCAGAGGGATCAGCACCAGCCAGAGCATGCTTTCCACGCAACAGTTCCCTGTCCTGCCTGCGGAGGAGGAGCGCTACCGGCAGATCCTCTCCGCCAGCCGGGTAAGGCGAGCCTGAGGGCGCTCCCCTCCGTGCGTGGGGCCGCCTGGGGACCACGGGGCCGGGGAATTGTGAGGGCGGCTGCTCCGCCGCTCAGCGACCCCCGAGCTGCGGGCGGGGGCAGCGCGCTCAGGGGACACTCCCTGCCGCCACTGGTCCTGCGGGGAATCCCCGTGCGCGGCGCACACCCTGCGCTGCCACGGCGGGGTTGAGCGGCAGGTTCCTCGGGCAAGAGAAGGGGCGACCCGAGCCCGCCAATCTGTCGTAGCGAGAGCGGACCCGTGGCTCGCAGGGAGGGACGATGCCCTGCCCAGGGTGGCGCGGCCCGAGGGACGGCCGGGGACAGCGACCGCCCGTGCCCAACCTGCCGCGATGGGGCCGTCCCGGAGCGCTCCAGTGCCGAAACTTGCGCGGCTGTGCGGGGCCGCGTTCAGAGGCGCGGGTTGCAGGTGAGCCGCTCGTTGTTAGCGTCTCATGGAGAACCGAGAGGCGCCCTCTCCCCAGTTCTCTCACGAAGTCAGCGGGGATGAACAAGGGGGTTGATGTGCCTTTTAATTGCTCTGCTGCTGGAAGGACTGCGGAGGAGGTGGCCGAACCCGAGGGCAACAGGTCTGGATAGGATTTGCTGGAGCAAAATTTGGACTTAGCCTCTGGCAGGACGGTCATGGCAACTCCATCGGCGACCGCGCTCCCGAAGAGCCCGATGCACCGTGACTCCGGCGCGGTAGTTGCCCCCCTGGCAGGAGCGGGAGCTGAATTTACCCTTGCGTCGGTGCAGCCTGGGGTCGAGTGGAGGAACATCTTCCCCTCCTCTCGCCCTCTGCCACGGCTGTCCGGCGGGATGGTACCGCTGGCCGCAACCACCCACAGGGGGAGGTCATCCCGTGAAGCAGTGAATCCTTGCAGGGAGAATCAGCACACTTGTGTAGTTGGAAGTGTCCGAAGGGGATAGGGCGGGCGTTGGCAGTGTCCCGGCACACTCCTGGAGGAAGGATGAGGGAGCGAAGGAGCTTTCTTTGGCTGCCCTTATGGGAGAGGCGGCTGACGCAGTAATGCGAACCTGCAGGGTCAGTCCTCCCAGCCTGCCCGTCCCTCCGCTACCCGGGGCGCAGGTTCTCCCCGGTGTCCCCGGTGCGGGTGGCGCTGCCAGAGGAGCAGGCACGGCGGGGACCGCAGGTGGAGAACGGGGCCAGGGGCAGCGTTCCCCGTGACAGTGCCGGTGTGAAGCCCCGCGGCGAGCGAGCGGGAGCGTCCGCCAGCAGGGCTGGTGTCATCTCTCTCCGCCGGCAGGGCTGGCATCCCTTTCCGCCGCCGGCCAGGACCGGCGAGGGGGAGCACAGAAGTGCTCAGCCTGATGCGTGACACTTGCGGAGAGGGCGTCGGAGCCTCCTGTGCTGTCACAGCGATCGTGCGCGATCGAAATGGCACTGCAGCTGGTTTCACGAGTTTGTAAATACGGCAGTATACTTTGGTAGTATCGTTACTCCACTTGATTTAAAATGCAGAATCTTTGGACGCATTTCATGGCAGGCGATTAATTAATTAACCTTTATTTTAAATTATTAGAAGTCCGGCTGAGATGGTGAAACTCTTAAGTGAAATCAAATATCTAGAGCTTTTAATGCATTCACGAGGTCTCTTGGGAAGTTTTAGCTTTCAGCAGTAAGAATATGGTAGTGGATTTTTCCATATGCCCACTTAAACACTCCCTGTGTTCCTAAAAGACGGTCCACTCAGCAGGATTAAACTTTTAGTTTGTTTTTATAATGGATGCCCTAGTTGGAGATCTCTGTTATAAGCTTCTCAGGTATTGTGACACAGACAGCTATGAATTAGTGTCACTGAGATAATGCAAGCAATTATAATCCAAGCAACTGTAGTAATACAGGGAATTAGAGAACCATTCTGCCTCTGTGCCTCTGTAAAAGCTGGTGACATCTCCAGAGCACCTTGGACATCAAGGTTCTCTAGGAAGCTGGGGGCTCCTCCAGGTGAACAGAGAAATCCTAAACGATGTTCAAGCCTCCTTTAGATAGCGAATGCTGGTGACTTTTTTTCCCTCCTCTGTTTATGGAGTACCCCAACAGGCAGATGGGTTCCCCCAGATTCTGGCTGTGGGGAAACCTGGCCCTTTCACCCTGCATGTAATCCTCATTTAGCATGCGTTTTCAAGGAAGCCACCAGCACTCATTTTCCGGAGAAGCCTCTTGTGGTGGTGAGCCAGGCACCCAGCTTGCTTGCCCAGATTAGGGTAGTCTGCTTGTGCACTTAGTGTCTCATGGGACCATCAGGACAAAATACTGTTTTTCCTAAGTCTTTTGGAGCTGTAACAAAACTTTCACTTCTTCTCCAGAAGTCTTTGCTGGCACTCGACAGTCTGTAGATAATTTGAGTGTCCGGTGAATCAAAAGTACTGTTTGAAATGTGTCATGATTGGAGGTGTTCTATAAAATGTGCAATGCACACAGGGCAATTTAATGTATCTGTATTATTGGTTGACTATTAGTTATGTATTAGATGATGTCTGCAGATACAAATGAAAGCCAGGACTGTTCGTAGTGCCAATAATTATTTAAAAATGCAGGCTTACTTGAATGCAGGGGTTGCTTTTGTGTTGCCTTTTTTTTTTTTCTGCTAAGCTTATATACATATTTAGGTCTTAGCACTCAGCTCCCTTGAGGAACATTACTGTTACTGTCCTGCCATTATACTAAGTCCATGTATTACCAGACACATAATTTCTTGTCATTACTTGCGTGGCCAAACAAGGAGTGAGTGCAGAGGCTGAGGTGGATAAGCACCTAGACAGAAATCTCATTTGTCTGGAGGAGAACGGTCCTTCCTAGAGAAGGTGGAACAGGCAAGGGAATGTTGGAATAATTATACTGGGCAAAGAAACCAAGTGGCTCCTGTTCTCACCACTACTCAATTACTCCAACCAACAAATACTGAACTCTGAACATACTCTTCATACACAAACAGGAAGACAGTGCTTCAATTGGTGTGTCTCAGTGGCTGTTTGAGCTCTGTGAGTCTTTGCCATGCTGAGGCCCAGCAAACTGAGGTCATTCCAGTCCAGTAGGCACAATACAAGCACTATAGACACTTCTTTAAGAGGTGGGAACTGTGGCTTTGCCCCCACCTGGACCAGGAGGCCCTGGATCCCAGGTATCTACTTTCAGGCTGAAGATCACTTGCTGTTAGGCAGTTACATGCAGTGGCACTCCTGGTCTGGTCTGGTCAGGTTTTAAAAGATGGTGGCTATGGCTATATTGTGTGGGAAGAGTTTGAATCCTGTCAGCATGTCAGGTATCCTCAGCAAGTGCTTACAAGGCCAGATGAATGTCTTGTTTCTGAATGCCAGCCAGGGTTGGGCAGGGGCGGATGTCGGGCCACTTGCAGCAGAGCAGTTTTAGACTTGCACATGCAGCCTAGGCCCATCCAAATGTGGGTGCCAGACCCCTTCCTGATTTTTAAATGCCTTCAGGATGAAGCAGCTAAGTAAGCAGCAGGGCTTGAGAGGGACAGTCTGATTACAGTTTGAAATATTCGTGTTTGTAGTCTGTTCCAGTTTCTTTCCCTATAGAAAAGACATGGACCATGTAACTGGCAGGCTGAGTACGTATGGTTCTTGAACCACAGGAGAGAAAGGTGGATAATAACCCCTTGTGAAGTGATGGATTGTCACAGAAGGAGGAGGAAAGCTTAAATCCTCGTTGTAAAGGTCTTCATGCACAGAATTGCCTCTGAAGACAGTATCCAATCTGCTCCAGCCTGATTACTCTCATTGTCTCTGAATTTTTAATTCTAGTGGCCCTCCACAGTCAATTGTTGCGTGAGAGCATGCAGTCTCATCTAGAACTGTACTGAGCCTCAGTCTGAGTGGCAGGGCATAAGAGCCACCCTCCACTTGCTGGGATCTGTAACTGGGGGTGTTAGTAGATGTGTGAGGTGGATCCTCACTTCTCGAGAGGCTGCATGAGGAAAAATGTGGGGAAGAAAGGAAAGGAGGAGCGCCTGGGCCTTGCCGGGGTGGCTCACCTCCTTGGCTCTCGTTGCAGCCCCCGTGTCCAGGCACAGCCCCTCTCCCCGGCCGTGAGGGGCGGGCGGGGGTGCGGGTCAGGCCGGGCAGCTCTGGGGTTTCCCCGCCGCACACACCCGCCTTGCCCGGCTCTGCTGAGGGGCGAGGGGGGGCTGCTTCGCGGGGGCCTCTCCCAGTCCGCAGCCCCGCGGCAGAATACGATGCCGATAGCATCCCTTCCCTCAGTCCTCTGCCCTCTATAAATAACTCTGGCTGGGCTGACCTGTCAGATTCTCCCGGCAGAGCGGATCCCCTGACCCTGGCCGCCTGCACTGGAAAGTCTGAATGCAAAACATGCCGTAGTAAAAATAGAGCGGCCGGGGAGCCCCGCCGGCAGGTCCCAGCGGCTCCCGGTGCCGCCCCGGCCCTCGCCGCCCCCCTGGCGCTCCCGGCTCCCGCCAGTGCTGAGAGCTCCCCCCTGCTCCCAGATCCATGTGCGCTTTTGTGCCCCAGTGGTGAGAATGCTTTTCTCGGTGTCAGATGGAAGTTTCGTTTCTGCTGTGGAACAGATAGTTCCCTTCCAGGTAGCATTGTAAATTTCGGCTTGTCTTTCTAATCAGCAAACATGAAAGAAATGGGGATAATGGTTTAATATCCTAAATGTAAAAATAATAATGAGACGACTGTCAAGCAAGAGCTTGTCTTTTCAAAAAGAGATGCGAATGTTGCTATTTCTGAAGTCTGAATTAGATTCTGTCCTTGCCTACCTTGTGCAGACAACTGTTCCCCTGGAGAGATAGGGTCTCCTTGGCTGTATAAATTATAAGCCATTATAACTTAAAGTTGGGACCCCTGGTGGCCTAGTGGTTAGCATGCAGGACTCTCACTGCTGCAGCCCAGGTTCGATTCCTCGGTCCCCCCGGGCAGATGGAGCCCGCTAGCCCTGTGAGGCCATCCATCTATGAGAAGGTCACTCTAAACAAACCTACGTCCTGAGGACCTCACTGCCATTGTCCAAGCTTGCTTGGCCCCGGCAGATGAACCTTGGGATTAAAGGGTGGGCTCAGTTCAGCGCGTGCTGTGTCTCACCTAAAAAATCCATTGCGCAGGCTGGAAAGGTAAAAGACCTTTCCCAAAATCTTCGTTCGTGAAGACTGGCCATTATTATTCATTATTATAACTTAAAGCAGTGCTTGCAATTAATTTGTGCATTATGCTGTTATTTCTGGTTGTTTTACCTGTGAAATCTGAATATCTGGAGGTTAAAGACAGAAAGTGCTGTCTGACTGCTGCTATGCCTTCTCCTTCAGGTGCATCCATGTCACAGTTCTTGGCCCTCAGTGCCTGCTGGAGCACAACCTACTGTGGGGGTGGTGGTGGGATGGCCTCAGCACTGCACATCTACTCTCTCACCCCTCACCCATCCTGTGGATGGGGGAGAAAATAAGAAGAATGAGAAGCTCATGGGTCAAGATAAAGGCTGGGAGATTGTTTCCTGATTACTATCATGGACAAAACAGACTTTGATGGAGTAAATTAGTTTATTACTGATTAATATTTAATTACTGATTCAGGTATTATGAAACAACAACAAAAGAAGAAGCAAGCATTAAAACATTTCAGGAAAACACCTCTCCTCCCACCTTCCTAGGCTCAGCTTCACTCCAGACTCCTCCCCCCTTGTTTTCACCACAGGTGGCACTCAGTCCTTTCAGTGAGGCAATGAGCAGTGCAGGGAAGGACTGTGGTTCTTCTCTGCTGCTCCTTTCTTCTCACTCATCCTCTGCCTTGGTGTGGATCCTCCATGGGCTGCAGTCCTTTTGGGAATATTTGCTCTACCATGGAGCACCCTATCCCGCTTCCCCTATTCCCAGATCATGAAGGGATGAACTGAATATTGTGTGCAATTTTGCACGCCACAATATAAGAAAGATATTAAGCTACTAGAGAGTGTACAAAGGAGGGCAATGAAGATGGTGAAGGGCCTTGAGGGGAAGCCGTTTGAGAAGTGACTGAGGTCACTTGGTCTGTTCAGCCTGGAGGAGACAGAGAGGAAACCTCATTGTGGTCTTCAACATCCTCGTGAGGGGAAGAGGAGGGACAGATGCTGATCTCTTCTCTGTGGTGACCAGTGACAGGACCAAAGGGAATGGCCTGAAGTTGTGTCAGGGAGTTTTAGGTTGGATATTAGAAAAAAGCTCTTCACCCAGAAGGCGGTTGGGTGCTGGAACACGCTTCCCAGGGAAGTGGTCACAGCACCAATCCTGACAGATTTCAAGAAGCATTTGGATGATACTCTGGGGCACATGGTGTGACTCTTGGGGATGGTCCTGTGCAGGGCCAGGATTTGGACTTGATGATCCTGATGGGTGCCTTCCAACTCGGCAGATTATGTGATTCTGTGATCCTTCAGTTCCTTTTCATCACCTCTGTCATTAGGGTGGAAACCCTGTAACATCTGCTTCTTTGGGTGCCACACAGTTTACAATTCTCTGTTTTTATTAGTATTGTTGCCAGCAAAATGTAGTTTTTTAGCACCTTGCCCTATAGAAAGTGAAAAGAGGCTGAAAATCAGATACAGACAGATGTCCTTTGGAATGGTGAAGTTTATGCTGTCATGGTTCAAACCCTGACTCTGGGGGACAGCTGCTGTAAATCTGGGGGAAAAAGACTGTCAAGTTGCATCATGGCAGGTGCCCGGTAAGCTACTGCTCTTCCTGAATTCCAAGGCTCACTTTTTCTTGCAAAACGTATGTTTTCTATATTGAGAATTTAATTCATCTTCACCTTCCTTAAGGGAAAGGAAATGAAGGTACAGTTTCCTTTTTTGGGACCCCATCAGATTGCATCTACTCCAGTTCGTGTGTTGTAGTTCAGATAGATACCAATGTGATCTCAGTGGATGGTGCTTGTGCTTCGAGACTGACTGGTCCCAGACTTGTCAAAGTCCGTCTTTCCCTTCTTCTCTTCCTAAAACCTGTAACACTCAGTTCTGCCATATACAGAACCTAGTGTTTTAAATACTAATGTGCTAGAATCCTCCATGACTGATTTGTTTGATGCTAGAGAGATCTGACTTCAAAATGATTTAGCAGTAGTAGTAATTGCCCAGAGCAATTCCTATTACTGTTTGTCACCTAAAAGAACTAGTTTCAAAATAGCCTGTACTGTCATTCCAGTATTACTGTGAGTTACTTGAGAACGTCATAGACTTGGGAAGCATTTACTAAGGAAAGAGACACTCATTTTTTCCCCCTTACTGCCTCTGAATGAAGCAGTAAGAAATCACTTACATGCTCCTTGCGTTGTTCATCTCATTAGATTTCAGAAAGTAGTCAGGTCATTCTCTTGGGAATAAAAACACTGGTAGCACTGAGGAGTTTTTCATCCCACGCCTCTCAGACCTGCAGCTCTGCATTAATGTAATAATACAGCATATAACTGTAAAACACAATTGTGTCTGCTCTGGACTTCCATGGGCAAGTGGTACAACATGGAGATTTCTTCTATTGCTCCTGATTCTCATGTCAAATCTTCTGCTGTGTGGACTATTTTGCCTGTGTTAAAGTTGTCCCGAAACTAGTGGGACCTGGAGATGATAGAAACAGCACATACTGCAGTGCTCAGACTTTCCCCAGCTTCCTGCCTTTTCGCATTACCAGGAAGAAACACAGACAGCTGAGGCCACCTTGCCTTAGCAGCTTGTGCATTTTTGCCAGGACATAGTATTGAGGGACAGTTTATTGTTTGAAAGATGCTAGTTTTCTGCATCTGCAAATATTGTCCAAGTAGATAATATATCTGAAAGAATGTCAAGAACTGTAGAGTAAGTCGCTATCTTTCTTTTGTTTGTGTGGTTTTTAAATTTTATTTTCTCTCACCTTGTTTTTTCATTTGTAGCAACTATGTAACAAACGAATTAACCAATAAGTGCCTTTTTTAAACTTCGGTTTGTCCCTGATCAGCCATTTTAAGGGAGTAAGTTTATATAATTTGTAGTGCATGTAGACAAGAATGGAAAGGAAGTCTGAAATGAGGATTGAATGTGTTTAAAAGTTGTTAACAATTCTTTTTCCCTATAAAGTCAGAGATATGAAAGAGTGTTGATGGTGGTCTGGAAGGGCTAAGAACCCAGATGGTTTCCATTCACTTTTTTCTCATCATTGATAGAAGTATTCTGTGACTCTTGGAGATTTCCAATGAAAATGTAAATGGGAGGAAACCTGGCATCTGTTCTAGGGATGACAAATTGAATATTCCTAGCCATAAATACAGTAGGATTTTTCTTCTTTGACAAAATAATTCACCAGATTGTGGTGAATAAAAACTTAGAAGTTTTTATTCCATAAATCCTTATGTGATCCATAAAACTTTAGTACTACATCAAAGTCATAGTCCAGTGTGTACACCAATGTGCCTTGTTAACCCACTTAATCTTGAGTTTTCTGTATCAGCTCCTTTTTTCATATTTTCAAGAATAATGAATAGGTTTAATCTCTAGTCACCTCTCCAGTTATTTCTGTCAAGATGTCCTGGTAGTTTCAAAAAATATGCTCCTCTTTCTGTATTTTCTTCTACTGAAGCAAAACATTCAAAGATGATATGTTTCTGAACAAAGTGATATCCTATTGAAAAATGAATGAGTCACCTCTAAATTTCATAGGTAGTAGGTTATCAACCTTTGAGACATTGTGTAAGTCCATTTTCATCTTTGGGAGGAGGCCAAATAAAAATCCAGCTATGCTGAACAGATAGAACTTTGCTTTTACACTCCATCATGTTCTTTCCTTTGATTAATATTGCTGCTGGTCTTATCCTTGGTCCAACGATTAGTTCAGAAAAAAGTCAGTAAAGTTAACGTTACACATTCAAATAATAATTTCAAATTTTTCTTAGCAGATGTTTGTAGTGTAAGAATAATTACCCATTTTAGTGAAAAATTAATAAGAAATGCTTGAAACATAAGGAGACAAATGCTTCTAAGAAGATTCATGCCTTTTTTAGCTTGTATTCTAGTTTAGCATCCAATTCATGTAATTGAAAACTTTTGATTTTAAGTAAGTTGTACAGTTGTATAATCAGCAATACACATCGCGGATACATAATGTACTGATCACCTTCAAGTTCAGAAGGCTAAGTCTACTGATCAGGCAATAATGGGAAAAAAGGTTATGTCCAATTATGAGGTCTAATTGCCTTGTGGGAGGGGGATTCTGATGGGATTTCTACATAAGGGGTGAGTGATTGATACCCTGAATGGGAGCCACAGGACAAGCAGGATTTCTTTTTGTTCCATCTAGTTTTCCAGGCTTGAAAGCTGCTTTTAAGAGGAGGTTTTCCTCTGACTGTATGCCTCCACCCCCTCAAAATGTTTGGGTTTTTTTCAAAATTTTTTTATTGTCACAAATTAGGCCACTAGGATTTTTTTTAAAAGTTTTTTTTATGGTTTTCGATTTTGCTTTCCAGCGCTAATGGCTCTTCTCCAGACATCTGCTCATTGAATTCCAGGCAAAACAGGAACCTGAAGTGAGTACTGTGTTACTCCATGCCTGCTGGGTTGTAGTTCTCAGCAATGTGTAACCAG